CCGAAACGCCATCGATCTGGCCCAACAGCTTCCAGACACATCCGCGGACAAACAAGTGATGACTCCAACAACGCCAACCGTAACCCCACGTCAGGGAGCCATTTTTCCCAGTCAAGGAAATGAAGAGGTGTACAACTAGTAGTAAGTAAAATATCCCTGCCTTCGACCACCGGTGTCCCCTTCCGCACGTCGCCCGGGTCGCAACACAAAGACCGTATTCAACCCCGGCAGAGACCTTCCCTTCTCTCACCCCGCCCGACCGGCTGCAGGGAGGTGGGGCGGGCGGTCGCCGGGCTCAAGGCCCGAGGCCGGGGTGGCGGGCGAGGACTGGACGGCCTCGGGGAAGCTGGGCACCCGGCCGTGTCGTTCGAGGGAGGGGTCGAGCCTCACCTTGGCCCGCTTGCGCCGGCTGGTCCGTCGCCCCTCCGGAGTCTCTGCTATGCCCGTTTCCATGGGGGTCGCGGACCCAGGCACGACGGTAGGCCCGCCCTGAGGCCCGGCAGACCCCGGCGGCTCGGCCAGACCCCCGGGGGGCGAGGCCCGCGGAGGCTCCTTCTTGCGGGGCGTGCGCTCCCCGGCTGCCCCCGGCACGACCTCGGCAGGGCCCGACAGGCCCGCGGCCGGCGCGGCCACCTCGGAGCCGTTCTCAGCGCCGCCCGCCGTCCCAGGGCCGGACTCCGTCCCGGCCGCCGCCGCCGCCGCCGCGGCTGCTGCCTTCTTCCCAGACAACATCTCGGGCCGCCGGGCCGCCGAGGGCCGTAGGGGCCGCTGAACCTGCCGCTCCGTGAGTCCGGAGCCGCCGCGCCTCGCCTCGCCTCGCCTCTCGCCGTCCGCGCGCCGCCAACCACTGTCGTACACGCACGCGCCGGGCGCGCTCCCGCCGCGTCGGAACAAAAAGGCCCCGGGACGCCCATTGGCCCCGCCCCCCGCCACCATAGAGCGGCGTCCTCGCGGCCAGAGCGACGCCGTGCATAGAGCGCGATGCTCGCCTAGAGCGTCTCCTCGGCCCTTGGAGTCGGTCCCAGCACAGGCAGTGATCTTAGGGCTTCTGGGCCAGACTTGCACCTCCGAGGGCGACTATTTCCTCCAGGGACTTGCGGGCGTGGCGTGTATGCACTAGTTCATTCATTCTCTCAGCCACTCATTCGTCAATTCAGCCAATATTTATTAATGCTTACTACATGACACGGGTTAAATTACGAACTTTTGCTTTCAAACAACTTACAGTCTAATGGGGGGAACACACTGAAGTGCACTGGTAGATCATCTTATTTATTCATAATTGTCTTGCTTAGACTGGGGAAAACTTGGAAAGCATATGACTTTCCGTGGTAATAAAATGGAGACAAGTTAGGAAATTCAGGTTTTTTAGTCCAGATGCGATAGATCCTGCCTCCGAGTTTTTGTTCAAGATCTTCTTTCTTCCTGGCACCCCCTTACTTGCACTATCCCCCACCCCCATGTCTCCCATCCCCACACACATTAACTCCTCTTTCTACTCCAGGTTACTTCTTTCTTTCTTTTTTTTTGAGACAGAGTCTCGCTTTGTTGCCCAGGCTAGAGTGAGTGCCGTGGTGTCAGCCTCAAACTCCTGGGCTCAGCCTATCCTCCTACCTCAGCCTCCCAGCTGGGACTACAGGCATGCACCACCATGCCCAGCTAATTTTTTCTATATATATTAGTTGGCCAATTAATTTCTTTCTATTTGTAGTACAGACGGGGTCTCGCTCTTGCTCAGGCTGGTTTTGAACTCCTGACCTTGAGTGATCCGCTCGCCTCAGACTCCCAGAGTGCTAGGATTACAGGCGTGAGCCACCACGCCCAGCCTGGGTTACTTCTTTCTAATGATGATGGTGGTGGTTTATTCTTTTAATTCTTCCAAGAATCCCTCACTGATGCAACACTGGAGCAGGTCTTGTGTCATTTGAGCATATTTCCACTTATTACACAGATCTATACTTGCCCTTTTAATAGTCTCTTCAAAGTATAGTTTTCAAAAAATTTTTCTATTTACATGAAGGTCAAGAACTGGTCAACTGAGTTCTAGTGATAGAATCCAATCAGCGATTGTCTGGGATAGGGTGTGGATTGACTGCAAAAGAGCAGGAGAGAACTTTCTGGGGGTGATGGAAATTGTAAAGTTTTTCAGCAGTGAAAGAAACAGACAGAGAGAGAGGGAGAGAGAGTGGGGCCAAACAATGTGGCTTTATTGAGTGCTCCTGGGCAAGGTTCATGGGTCCCAAGAGAGGAGGGCGGAGAAGTCCCCCCTTTTGAAAGGTGGGAAAGGCTTTTATACTGTTTTAAGTGGGATGAGGACTTTTGGTGGAAGAGCTGGGGTTTTTCCACTGTGACCTTTGGTGGTCATTAAGAAATAGGAGGGGCTGGCAGTATTTGCGGAATCCAGGAGCCAAAACTTTCTTATCCAGGTGGAAATCTAGATGTAGTTGTTCTCAGTGGGGCCTGGCAGTTGTCCTTGGCAGGTTTGGTCTTGTGAGCCTTTTCTTTTTTTGATCTAGGGAGGGGAGGGAGGCCCGCCACCAGCCTTACAGAAATGTTTTATATCTTGATGGAGGTGATGGTTACAGAGGTGTATATGTTCATCAAAATTCACTGAACCATACATATAAAATAGGTATATTTGTTTTATGTAACTGTACTTCAATGAAGTTAATTTTTTTATAAACTAGGCAAGCAGGCAAAGATATAAAATGCAACCAAAATATTTGTACTCTCATATTTTCTTGAAATAAATAAATAAGAGGAAAAAAAACTAGGCAAACAAAAAAAAAAAAGAGGCAATTAAGTCCAGGAAGATGAAAAAAATGTGCAAGAAAGAAAATGTACCCAGGCGTTGTGGCACATGCCTGTAGTTCCAGCTACATGGGAGGTGGAGGTGGGAGAATGGCTTGAGCTAAGGAGTTTGAGTCCAGCGTGGGCAATAAAGCCACTTCATTTCTTTTCTCTGAAAAAAAAAGAAAGAAATAAAATGTACAACATATGGCTTAACTGTGAACTATGTTGACATGGCCATAATAGCATAAGCAATGAATATTCTTTTGACCAAAGAGATAGGATTATATTTAAAGAATGGAGAAAAGAGAAAGTTTTCGGGGAGAGGGATGAGAAGAATTTAGGGAAAGGGGGATGAAGTGGGAATGGGGGAAGTGCTGCTTGGGAGCTAAATCTTCATATTCCATCATAAAAATACAATACATAATGTCAAAATTGAGAAATCAAGAAATAACAGTATAAGCATGTTATTTATCAAGATAAATGCAGAAGAAATAGATAAAAGAGTTGGAATTGGTTGTTTCTGAGGCTTGAAATGTGAGGATGGGAAGAGGTGAGGTCAGGGATCGAAGCTTGTTTTATTTATTCATTTATTTATTTAGAGACAGAGTGTTGCTCTGTTGCCCGGTAGAGGAATATATATATATGGTATATATGTATATATGGAATGGAATATATGGTCAGTACTCAGTAGAAAACAAAATACTGGAATGTGATTGCAAAGTTAAACAGGAAAAAATGGTTAATGTTCTACAGGTCCATTAAACTGTAAACTTTGGGGTTATCTTTTCTATCAGACAGTTATTTCCATCTATTTGCAAAAAAAAAAAATCAATTACAACTTATCCTTTTTTTTTTGAGACAGAGTCTCGATTTGTTCCCCAGGCTAGAGTGAGTGCCGTGGCGTCAGCCTAGCTCACAGCAACCCCAAACTCCTGGGCTCAAGCGATCCTGCTGCCTCAGTCCTCCCGAGTAGCTGGACTACAGGCATGTGCCGCCATGCCCGGCTAATTTTTTTATATAATATTAGTTGGCCATTAATTCTTCTTATTTTTATAGTAGAGAGGTCTTGCTCTTGCTCAGGCTGGTTTGGAACTCCTGACCTTGAGCAATCCGTCCACCTCGGCCTCCCAGAGGGCTAGGATTACAGGCGTGAGCCACCACGCCCAGCCACAATTTATCCTTTTTTTCCTAGAAATAACTAATTCATTTCAGTTCTTTTTAATGTGATAAAATACACATAATGTAAAATTTACCATCTTAACCATTTTAAGTACACTGTTTAGTAGTATTAAGTGCATTCGCATTGTTGTGCAAACAATCTCCAGAACTCTTTTCATCTTGTAAAACTCTGTACCTGTTAAACAACAACTCTACCCCTTCCTCTAGCCCTTGGCAGCCACCATTCTCCTTTCTGCCTCTATGAATTTGACTATTCTGGGTACTTCATATGGGTGGAATCATATAGTGTCTTATAATAGGCTAATTTCACTTAGCATAATGTCCTCAAGGTTCATCCACGTTGTAACATGCCAGAATGTCCTTCCTTTCGTAGACTGAATAATATTCCATTATATATATATATATATTAGTACAACATTTTATTTATCCATTCACTTGTTTATGGATACTTGGGTTGCTTCCACATTTGTCTGTGAATAATGCTGTTATGAACGTGGGTGTACAAATATTTCTTGAAGACCGGCTTTCAGTTCTTTCGGGTGTATCTAAAAGTGGAATTGCTAGAGCAAATTATCCATTTTTAAAAGGTTAACATCAACCATTACAGAGTTTGGGCCATAATCAATATGAAATATTAAGTCAAACAAAGTTACCTTCTCCTAAAGCATCAGGTGACCAACAGGTGGGGCTACTAGACAATATTCAAGTATGACTGTGAAAGCAAGCACACACAGTAATGTTTTACCTAATTTCCAGTTTTGGATAGTTTTTCTCTGCAGTCCACCCGTGATGAGGCTAGGCACTCTGTATTGTCGGCCATTTTATTCCCAGTGGCTAGGCCCAGAAATGCTGCTGAATGAAAGAGGAGACAGACCTACCTCACCAGGCTGTTGTGAGGACACCGTGAGGTGAGGCTTGCAAACTGCCTGTCAAAGCACCCACACTGTGGGCGTTTAAGACCTGGGAGGAGTGAATAGTATTGTTATGCGGCAGCTGGGTGGGGGAAGGGAGCTGGTTATGACTCAAGGGAGTGGGGGTGGCCGCGACTCTTGTCATGGAGGGGACCGAGAGAGGGTCCTGGGGCCTGTGTGCCTCCACGCCATAATGCTGGGGGAACTAATATTTCTTTTAAGGAGTCTCCATGGGATACTTGCCTCCTCAGGTACCATAGGAGCAGTGTTGGCTTGGCTGATAAATTATAAGCCAGTCTTCTTTGGGTTCCTACTCCTTCTGCTGTTGCTTAGCAACTGGCTGGTCAAGTATGAACAAAAGCTCACCCCCTCAGAGCCCCAGAAGGTGAGCAAGAGGCGGCTGGGCTTCAGCTGAGGGAGATGGGATGGGTACAGCTAGGTTGGGGCCTGGGGGACAGGGTAGGTGTCAGGATAACGGGGCAAGACTGAAGAATCTAAGACTCTGGTCCCTGCTCTGCAGCTTCCTCTTGGGTGATGGTGGACAAATCACTTCCCTCCACAAGGCCTCAGTTGCCTCTGCTGTAAAATGGGGACCATTCCAGACTCTTCTACTTCAGTTTGATGTCAACTTGCTGTGGCAACAGAAACAACTACTTTATTTTATTTATTTATTTATTTGGTTTTGAGACAAAATCTCACTCTGTTGCCCAGGCTAGAGTGCTGTGGTGTCAGCCTAGCTCACAGCAACCTCAAACTCCTTGGGCTCAAGCAATCCTCCTGCCTCAGCCTCCTGAGTAGCTGGGACTACAGGCATGCCCCACCATGCCCGGCTAATTTTATATATATATATATATATTTTAGTTGTCCAGCTAATTTCTTTCTATTTTTTTTTTTTTTTAGTAGAGACAGGGTCTGGCTCTTGCTCAGGCTGGTTTTGACCTCCTGAGCTCAAACGATCCGCCCGCCTAAGCCTCTCAGAGTGCTAGGATTACAGGCCTGAGCCACCGCGCCTGGCCAGAAACAATTACTTTAATATGGAAAAAAATTTAAATGGATAAACCAGAGATACATGTATCAACATAGACACCTCTCTAAGATATAATAATGAAGACAGCAGAAATGTGCATAGATTATGATCTCTTTTATATAATGTTAAAAAAACCATGCAAAACAATATCCTATTTAGTTTATGGATGAGTATATGTAGTGAAAGTTTTTTAAGGGAGGATGTCTCAACTTCGGCACTATTGACATTTTGAGCCAGATAATTCTTTGTCGTGAGGTGCTGTCCTGTGCATTGTAGGAAGCCTGGCAGCCAGTGTCCCTAGCCTCTACCCATGAGATGCAGGTAGTACCCCCCCACCCTATTTGTGACAACCAAAAATGTCTCCAGACATTGCCAGATGTCCCCTGTGGAGGGCAAAATAACCTCCCATTGAGAACTACTGGTGTAAAGAAATGCGTGGAAAAAATAAATGCCAATTTCAAGATTACAGTTAAGAAAGATGTTCAGGGAAGGAGGGGAACACTATCGGAGGGGTCTTCAATTATATTTATGATGTTTTATTTCTTAAGCTGGTGGGGGAATGTGAGTATTTGTTATAATATTTACTTTTTTTGCATGTCTGAAATAGTATTTTTTTTTTTTTGAGACAGAGTCTCACTTTGTTGCCCAGGCTAGAGTGAGTGCCGTGGCGTCAGCCTAGCTCACAGCAACCTCAAACTCCTAGCTCAAGCAATCCTCCTGCCTCAGCCTCCCAAGTAGCTGGGACTACAGACATTCGCCACCATGCCCGGCTAATTTTTTGTATATATATTAGTTGGCCAATTAATTTCTTTCTATTTATAGTAGAGACGGGGTCTCGCTCTTGCTCAGGCTGGTTTCGAACTCCTGACCTCGAGCAATCCACCCGCCTCGGCCTCCCAGAGAGCTAGGATTACAGGCGTGAGCCACCACGCCGGGCCTGAAGTAGTATTTTTTAAATGTTTCTAAAGACCAGTAGTTTGTAGCTAAATCCAACAAGAAAAAATAAAGTGTTATCATTAACCAGGGGAGGGATCAGATGAGGATTACAGATATAATAGCATGTCATGAGACCACTGAGACTTTGGAGTTTGAGATTTCACTGGGCCTGGCAAAATACTCGGAGAGGCCTATTGGAGAAACAAAGATGGATGTATTTGGGTTAAGGGCTTTCTGTCCTCTGTGACTGGCATATTGCTGGGCTACCTTATTTATTCCTATGAACCAAAGGCAACCGCCGGACTTGGGAGTTTGGGGCTGCATGATGCTGAGAAAGTGACCTTCTGTCACTGGGCCCCAAGTCTCGACCATAGAATGTGACACAGCACTGTCCTTGCAGGCGGTTGTGAGAATCTATTAAGATAATGTTGATAAAGCACCTGGCATGGAGCAGGTGTTCAAACAGGGAAGGGATTATCATTACTAACCGACTTTTCCCCTTTCCTGGTGCTGGGGAGCTTAGGAGGAGGCAGAGAAAGCAAAGGCTTCTGAAAACAAACCCAACGCCAATGCCATGCACAAGAAAGAAGCGCAGAAGATGCAAGCTTGCTTCGCCCTCCAGGACAAAGTCTTTGAACGGCTTTTGCTCAGCGAAATGAAACTGCAAGTCTTAGAAAATCAGATGTTCATCATATGGGGTAAAATGAATCGCCACTGGAGGTCAAGCAGACATCGGAATTTTCCCGCAAGGAAACACAGAATGAGGAGGCAAGAACGGACTTTCTCCACCCTCTCCGACTGTACTTCCAACTCCCAGCCATGATGAGGCTGAGCGGGGCTGGCCTCGGCTGTTACCCTGGCTCAGTAAAACCCAGTCGGAGGCTTTCGAATGTTCTGTGTAAATCACTCACGTTGGGGAGGTGCGGAGGCTCTGGGAGGAGGACCAGAGGCTGAAAGGATGTCTCTGGAAAGGAATCACAGCGGGTCAGCCAGGTAGCACACAGTGACAGCCTCACTAGAGCCCACCCCTTTCGAGAGCCCTCTGTTAGTTGGGCCACCTCTACCCTGGTCCCCGGCCCTAGGCTGTTCACCTTGGGGGTCCCCTATCACCCTGCCAAGCCTGGCTCTGACCACGTTCATTTTCTGTTTTTGAGCCAATGTCTGGCCGCAATGGTCTACTGAGTAAAGCCCCCATTCTTTCCCGTGGTGTTCGGGCCCTCCGTGACCTGACTCCCTTCCAGCCCTTTCCCGCTCCATCACTGCCCTTCACACACCTTCAACCCTATGCCCGAGTATCCTAAACATCAGTCATTTGTGTGTCACCTTTGCGACTTTTGCCGTCACCAGGAACCACCTCGATGTTTAACTCGATATTATCCCTTTGAGTTGACTCTTTATTCTTAAACAAATTTATCTGTAAAGGAAAATAAATAAATAGCAATTTCTCTGTAAATTAAAAAATGCAGTATCCTTGGTTTAAATAGAACATGACTGTAAAAATAAAGATTAGGAAAACAAAACCACGTTGTTAAATCCAACCAGAGCTAGGTTGCTGACTGATAGGTCTGGGCCTGGGTGAGTTCTGTGTTAAAAAGTGAGATTAGCAAGGGTTAGAGTTTGAAAGACAGGCTAGCCCCTAGTTGAGACTTTTCTACATAAGGAGAATTGGAAAGGAAGTCACTATCTCACTGTTTGATTCAGTGTGACATAAGGCCATGTTGGTGTTCCGCCAACAGTCGTCTCTCTGAACACGGGTCTCACACACTCTCCCCAAACCAGAGCACTTGCCATGCCCCAAATGCATCCACATCTTTGCTCACATTTTCTTCTTCTGTGATCCCTTATTTTCCCCTTTCTGCTGCTATAATTCTTCACTTAACCCCAAAACCACCACCTCAAGAAAGCTTCCCTCAACCCAGCTATAGTGAATCTCTGCCCTCAGCACTCTCAGCATTTTATCTGCAGTTCTTCAGTAGAATGTATCACAGTCTGCTGGAATTTGAGTTGTACATATTTGTACACTCCCTCTCCGTGCTGGATTATAAACCCTTTGAGGACAAGCATATTCATTTGTCTAGCCCCCTGTAGCACCTAACAGAGTGCCCAGTATACAGTCAGTGCTCAATAAGTAACATTGATGATTGTTGATCACTGTCTTATGTGTCCAGACATGTTCTATGCCCTCTCATTTTATGATGACTCTCCTATATCCTATTTTGTTTAAGAGCAGGAGCTCTGGGGCTAAATCTGCCTGGGTTGAAATCCCAACAGTACCAGTTCTCAATTGTGTGATCTTGGACAACTCTTAAGGTGTTGATTCTTGCTGTACTCCAGTTTTCTTGACTGTAAAATGGGGAGATTAACACTATGAACATTATTATAGAGTTGATGTTAGGATTAGATGGTGTCTTAGTCTGTTTGTGCTGGTGTAACTGGGTAATTTATAAAGAACAGAAATTTCTTTCTCATGGTTCTGGAGGCTGGGAAGTTCAAGATCAAGGCTCTGGCATCTGGTGAAGGCTGCTCTCTGCATCCTCCAGAGAGGAGGAATGCTGTGTCTTCACATGCCAGAAGGGCAAAAGGGAACAAATCCCCTGTGTCAAGCCCTTTTATAATGGCATTAGTGCATTTCTGAGAGTGGGGTCTTCTTGACCTAAACACTTCCCAAAAGGCCACACTTCCCAATACTGTTGCATTGAGGAGTAAGTTTCCAACACATGAATTTGCCCTATTAGGTTGTTAGGTTCAGACTTACCTGGAGTCTGTTGCTCCTTTCTTCTTTTCTATTTCTCCCTTTTCGATAGGACATGTGTATCCTATGCCTGTCCCACCATTGTATTTTGTTTGTTTGTTTTTTTATTTTTTATTTTTTTCCAGCATATTGTGGGGGTACAAATGTTAAGGTTACATATATTGCCCTTGCCTCCCCTCCCCCCTCAAGTCAGAGCTTCAAGCGTGTCCATCCCCCAGTTGGTGCGCATCACATTCATTATGTGTGTATATACCCATCCTCTCTCCCCCACCTGCCCGACATCCGATAAATGTTATTCCTATATGTCCACTTAGGTGTTGTTGATCAGTTAATACAAATTTGCTGGTGAGTAAATGTGGTGCTTATTTTTCCATTCTTGGAATACTTCACTTAATAGAATGGGTTCCAGCTCTAGCCAGGAAAATACAAGAGGTGCTATATCACTGTTGTGTCTTATAGCTGAATAGTACTCCATGGTATACACATAGCACATTTTATGAATCCACTCATGTATTGATGAGCCTTTTGGTCCACCATTGTGTTTTGGAAGCTCATAATTTGTTTGATTTCACAGGTTCACAGCTGTGGGTAATTTGCCTTAGGATGAATTATGCCTGGCATCTCACCCATACTGATTTAGATGACTCTGGACTTTTACTTTTGAGTTGATGTTAGAACTAGTGAAGACTTTTAGGGCTACTGAGATAGAATGAAAGCATTTTGTGTTTTTTGGGTTTTTTTGCAACAAGGTCTTGCTCTGTTGTCCATACTAGAGTACAGTGGCATCATCATAGCTCGCTGCAGCCTCAAATTCCTGGGCTCAAGCAATCTTCCTGCTTTGGACTCCCAAAGTGCTAGGATTATAGGTGTGAGGCACTGTATTGGCCAACATTAAATCTTAAGACTTGAGAATAATCTTCTTTGACCCTATGTTTCACCTTCCAGATACACTGGGGCAGGGGTTGGTCCCCCAAGGCTCTGGGTAACCACTACCCCCACGACTTTGCTGGGTGTAGCTCTCACCCATTGGAGTCAGGTGCCTAGAGTTGCACAGTAGTGGCTCTACAGTTCTGGGGTCTCAGGGGCCACCTGCCTCCCATGGCTTCACTAAGCATTGCCCTAGTGGGGACTTTCTGTAGTTGCCCCAACCTCAACATTCTGCTGGATGTTGCCCGAGGGAGGCTTTCTGCAGTGGCTCTGCCTGGGCCCCCAGGCTCCCTAGGACATCCCTTGAAATCTACGTGGAGGAAGCCACGCCTGCACAGCACTTGTGCTCTTCACACCTGCAGAACTCCTACTACGTAGATGCCACCAAAGCTCACTGCTGTGCCCTCTAGAACAGTGGCCTGAGCTGCACCTGGGCCTGATTTAGCCACACCTGGGGCAGCTGAGCAGTGCTATACCAGAATGCAAGGAGGCGGCTCTGGGCAGTGAGCCCTGAGGTCCTACAGGTGACCTGGGCTCCTATCCCCAAATGGTTCACCCCTGAGGGTTCTAGCACTTGGGGCCTGTGATGGGCATGGCAGTCCCCTGGATCTTTGAAATGCCTTTGGGGTCTCTCTGCCATTGGCTTGATGAATAACACCTGTCTTCCTTCTAGCCATACCGATCTCCTTATCAATTGGTAGCATGGCCACGCCCTTAGTTTTCTCTCCCAGACACACTTTTTTATTCTTACCATGGCCATGCCTGAGCATTTTCCAAATCTTTACATTCTGTTTCCCTTTTAAATATAAATCCCATTTTTAAATCATTTATGTTTTGTGTTTTACTATAAGCAGTTAAGAGAAGCCATGCTCCATCCTGAACCCTCTGCTGCTTCAAGATTTCTTCTGTCAAATATCCTAGCTCATCACTCTGAAGTTCTGCCTTTCCTAAAGTCCTAGGACACAGATACAATTCATTCAAGTTCTTTGCCACTTCATAAGGATAGCCTTTCCTCCGGTTTTCCATACCTTGTCCCTTATTGCCATGTGAGACCTCATCAGAATGGCTTTCACTGTCCCTCTTTCTACTAGCATTCTGGTCACAATCACTTAGGTAACCTCTGGGAAGACTGAGCTTTCCCTATAGTTCTTCTCTCATTCTGAACCCTCACCAGTATTGCCCTTGATGCTCCACTCATGGCAATAAAGCCTTTTCCAGCATTCACTTCACAACTGCTCCAGCCTCTACTCATGACCTAGTTTCATAGCTGTGTCTACATTTTTAGGTGTTATAGCTACACTCTACTCCACTGGTATCAATTGTGAGGGGTCGAGTCATTGTATTGCACACCTGCAAGGCCCCGCACCCCCAGTGAAGCCGGAAGCAACATCCGGCTTCTGGAAACTGTTGCTTGCTTGCCATGGAAACCGTTGCTTGCTTGCTTGTTTGAGCCAACTTTGCATTGTTTGAACCCCTGTATAGTGGGCTACCAGCCAACCAATCATGTTAAAGGTCAATGCATGATCCACGCATGATCAGCCAATACATAGCGTATGCACCATAGGAATAAAAGGCACGCTGCAACCCTGGTCGGGTCCTTGCCTACCAGAGTGGCCACTGCGTTGGTGCTCAAGGCTTGGACCCTGGCTAGGCTTTTTTTTAAGAAAAAAAAATAAACTCCTCTTGTGTGTTTGCATCCTCGGTGTCTCTGTCTCTCTGTGGGTAGGGTGGTGAGAGGTAGTCGATTCCCAACACAATCTCTGCTTAGACCATTGTGTGCTGCCATAACAAAGTACCACAGTCTGGATAATTTTCTTTTTAGAGGTGAGGTCTTTCTATGTTGTCCAGGCTGACCTTGAACACCTGGGGTCAAATGACCCTTGACAGACTGGGGTAATTTATAACAACAGAATTTATTTCTCAAAGTTCTAGGGGCTGGGAAGTCCAAGATCAAGGCACCAGCAGTTTCAATGTCTGGTGAGGGTCCAGTCTCTGCTTTCAAGATGGTGCCTTGAACTCTGCATCCTCCGGAGTGGAGAAGATGCTGTGTCCTCATGTGGGGGAAGGTGGAAAGGCAAAGGAGATGAACTCCTTCTGCCAAGACCTTTTATAACAGCATTAATCCATTCCTGAGCGTGCAGCTCTCATGACCTAAACACCTCCCAAAAGGCCACAACTCTCTATGTTGCATAACTTTTGCATTGGGGATTAAGTTTCCAACAACATGAATTTGGGGGAACACACTCAGGCCATAGCAGAGGGGTTATTATGCCCCTTCAGGTCTTTGTTCAAATGACTCCTTAGTGAGGACTCCCTTGACCTTCCTATTTAAAGCCACAACCCTCTCTGTGTGTCAGGGATCTTCTACCTGCCCTCCCAAGTTGGTCCTCCATATCCCTTTCCAGCCTTTTCTGCTGAGGGGACAGGGGGGGTCAACCTGTATGAATTGCATCATCAGGTCTCCCTGCCCTGTGGCTTCCATTCCAATTGGGTTTGGACAACAGGGATCTCTGGAAAAAGACTGGAGGGAAGGAAGAGGTTGAAATAGATATTCCCTCGGCTCCCTCCTGTGGGCTCGACATGGACTAGTTTTGGGCTGGTGGGGTCGCAGGAGGCTGTCTCTATGTGACCCTCTTCTTTCAGGTTCTCTTTAGGTCCAGGTCTCTAGCGCCCCACAGTTAATCAGCCCAGGGCACTGCACTATCCTTGTGGCATCTATTTCTTGCTCATATCTTTGTAAATATTTCCTTTTACACAGCTTCGTGGGCCATCACTAATGTTCTTGCTATATAACCAGGCTATTGGGCCACCCAGAACTGGACCATTACGTAACCCCTGCTATGGAAACAAACACAACAATTCAGCCACATACTCGATCTGTAAGTGACGTACAAACCCACAATAAAGCACTGCAACGGGAAGAGAGCACCTGGAATGAGAAAGCTTACCGAGACGACGTGGGCATCATAGCCCCTTTGGTGTGCTAGATCCGCGCCTGGACCTACGGCAACGGCAAAACCCCCATGGAGGACTGAGATGACCAGTGAGGGTTCATTTGACCTATGAAGAAGACACTGGTGCTCATGGAGTGTGTATTACTTGCCAGCAACACTGTCCTGTGGCTCAAGGTGAACTAGGCATGATAGCCTGTAGTCTGAACAATTCATAATTGGCAATTGGTTGCAGTGGGTGCTGACCACCATGGACGTGGTATAGACACATGGGTGGTGTTTTCTTCCAAGAAGCTGACAGCACGCAGACTCTTAAGGCTCTGATGAACATCTTTGTCGTGTGCTAGAATTTCCTGATACGACACAATCTGATGATAGAATCCTGTTTACAGCAGTCAGCCCTGAATTTCATTCGAATGTGGAATTCTCTTGCTCTTCCACAATCACACCTGCAGGTGGCAGGTACAATTAAGGTACTTGGAATGGCAGCCAGGCGCGGTGGCCAAGGCCTGTAATCCTAGCACTCTGGGAGGCTGAGGCGGGAGGATAACTTGAGGTCAGGAGTTCGAGACCAGCCTGAACAAGAGCAAGACCCCGTTTCTACTAAAAATGGAAAAATTAGCTGGGCATTGTGGTGTGCACCTGTAATACCAGCTACTCGGGAGGCTGAGGCAGGAGAATCACTTGAGCCCAGGAGTTTGAGGTTGCTGTGAGCCAGGCTGATGCCATGGCACTCTAGCCCAGCCAACAGAGCGAGACTCTGTCTAAAATAAAAGACCTGGAATGGCTGGCTGGCTGGCTCAAAAAGCAACTATGTCAGCCCCTTCTCTGTGGGCACCCAGGAAGGGGGAGAGCCCACTTGCCCACTTGATGTGTCAGACCCTGGAGTCTCTGTACCTAGTCATCCCTCTATTTTTGAGCTCACATGGACTCTGGCCGTGGACCAGTAAGTTCACATGGACCCAGTTGAGGACGGGGTGTACGTGACTTTGAGTCTCTTTTTGCCTCTTTTAGAGGGCTCCTGATGGACATCCACCCCGGGCAGGCAACTCTGACACTGTCCTTACTTTGAGGAATGCCGTGTTTCTACCATCCATCTCCTCTGCAAATGGGGCACGTTGCTGCAGTCACTATGCCTGTGCGACAGGTCTCTTCTGCTCTGCAGCCACCTTCTTCAGTCTCCAGAGGTTGCTTCTGAGGGCAGAATAGTGACTCCTAGGTTCCCATGGGGGTCAGTGCTTTGGAAAAGGTGCAGATCCTCTGGCTGATCCCAGGATATGGCAGACCTGGCTGATCCAGCAAGAACATATGCAAGCACTTTCAGGAGAAAGATCAGGGTGGAGGGGTAAATAACCTCTCACCTTCTCTTCCAGATTTAGACAGGTAATGCTGAGCAGCTCCCAGCAGCTGCCCAGGCTGGGCACAGACCGACCATAGTACTGAATGTATCACCACCACCCTCTGTGCCCAGCTATGGGAGAACTTACTGGCATCTCATTCTCTGACCGTGGCAAGGGCATTGCTCCTAGCTGGCCACAGCCACAGCCTGCTGTGCCTTGGGGGAATTCAGTTGGGATCATTCAGGTCACAGCCACAAACGGCACAGCCATGCTCCCATCCCCTGCATGGACACTGTTGAAGCCGATGGCAGAATATTGAACAGTGTCCCTTGTATCCCCAGGGCTTGACTCCTGCTCTGCATATGAGTCCTTCCTTGCTTTCTCTCTCTCAATTTTTTTAGAGACAGGGTCTTGTTCTGTTGCCCAGGCTGGAGTGTAGATCAAGTGTGATGCAGGCATAATATCCCCTTTGGTGCCTGATCACAGCTCACTGTAACCTTTAATTTCTGGGCTCAAGCAATCCTCCTGCTTTGGCCTCCCAGAGTGCTAAGTTTACAGGTGTGAGCCTCCACACCTGGCTCCCCTGGTGCTTTTGACAAGACATTCCTGGGTGTTCAGTATGTGGATTTCACTATTTCACGCAGATTTTCCTCCCTGATAGGTAGGATCCACCACCCACGACCTCTCAGCTATCCTGCAGGAACTTGCCACGGGGACAGCCAGGTTCTCACTGCTGAGGTCGTCATGGACCCTTAGCCGGGGACGCTGGACAACCACATGGCTCTGCACTCTTTGTGCTAATCACCCAGGAGAGTAGCCACACTGGCCAATACCCCTTCCGCTTCTGGATTAACACCATCAGCCAAGGCAAGGAGCCCGTGTGGCTACCGCAGGAGCAAGCCTGGTGACCCCAGGCTGCTCCTCCATCTGGGGCTGGGGCCCTCTCCTCAGACTTGGCGTGGCCGCCACGGCCAGATGGCTCAGGCCTCCCTCCTACAACGTCTCCTCCAGCAGTGCCAACGGCCACTGGAAATCTCGTCACAAGCCCAGCCGATGTCCACTCCTATTGGGTGGGCTTGTGTGTGATGGGCCCCTGGGTCAAGGCATGGGCCTTGGAAAAGCAGCTTGCTTTGCACTGGAAGCCCCCAGGGACTCACCCCCGGTTCCCAGCAATGAGAGGGCAGGGGGGCTCCAGAGGGGGCTCCCTCCCCCAAAGCAGAAATGACTCTGCCTGGTCTCCAGTGTCCTTAGCACTGTGAGCAACTCCCCTGGTGCCTGAGCTCGGGCCGGTTTTTCTTCACTTGCAAGACTCACCTCATACTTGCCTGTAAAAAAGTAGAGTAGTAAGATAGGGTCCCTCTTCTGGAGCACACCCCATGGTGTTTCCAGCTCTGCCCCGCCCCCTGTACCTCTCACCAGGCGATGATGGAGGGTTGGACAACTTGTGTCTCATTTGGCTCTGACACTCTGCTTCAGTGTTTCCCCAGCGAAGGTCGTTTCTGCGTGTGACTTCGTGGGACGTGCCTTCGCCCAGAACCCCCATCTCCTGGACCTCGGAGCTCAGGCCTCAGGTTCCTTCTCTCCTCCGTTCACTACCTTGAGGAGGGGCTTTAAATGTCATCTCCTGTTACATGCCCAGGGTTTTCTAAATTGTATCTCCGATACAGACCTCCCAGCTGCAGATGCAGATGTCCAACTGCCTACCCCTGCACCTTCGCTCAGACATCTCAAAATGGGCGTGACCGATCCTGACCCCTCCCGCCACCTCCACACCGTGCAGGCGTCCTCTTGCGGGGAAAGTCACCTCCCTCCTTTCAGTTGCTCAGGCCAAAAGCTTTGGTGCTGCTCCTAACTCCTCTCTTCCTCTCATACGCAACTCCAGTTCTCAGCAAATCCTATTAGCTACATCCTCACAGTACAGACGGCATCTGTGAATTCAAACAACCTCAGATAAAAAGTATTTAAAAAAATTGCATCTGTACTGAACATGTTCAGATTTTATTTCTTCTCATTATTCCCTAAACAACACAATGTAACAGCTATTTTCATGGCATTTCCATTGTATTAGGTATTATAAGTGACCTAGATAGGATTTAGAGTCTATAGGAGGATGTGCGTTGGTTATGTGCAAACACCGTGCAATTTTATACCAGGCTCTTTTTTTTTTTTTTTTATTGAGACAGAGTCTCACTCTGTTGCCCGGGCTAGAGTGTCGTGGCATCAGCCTAGCTCACAGCAACCTCAAACTCCTGGCCTCAAGCAATCCTCCTGTCTCAGCCTCCCAAGTAGCTGGGACTACAGGCATGTGCCATCATGCCCGGCTAATTTTCTTTCTATATATTTTTAGTTGGTCAATTAATTTGTTTCTACTTTTTAGTAGAGACGGGGTCTCATTCTTGCTCAGGCTGGTTTCGAACTCCTGACCTCGAGTGATCCACCTGCCTAGGCCTCCCAGAGTATAGCAGGCTCTTGAGCAGCTGTAGGGGATCCTGGAACCAATTCCCCACGGAGACTGTATACCTAGAATCTGACACACTCCCACTGCCCCTCCGCTGCTGGTCCAAGCCCCGCCATCTCTCACTTGAGTCAGTGGGGCTGTGTCTTAACTGGCCTCCCTGCCCCCAGCCCTGGCCTGTAGACGGCTGTCAACACTGAAGCCAGAGTGCCCCTTCGCTGTGAGATGGTGCTACTCCTCTGCTCCGGACTGTGCGGGGGCTCCCACCTCACTCGGAAGGAGAACCAAAGTCCTTCCCAGAATGTTCTCCGTGACCTCCCCGACCCCTTACTTCCTGACCTCACTCACTACTCCGCCCTTTGCCTGGTCTGTCCCAGATGTGGTCTCCTCACTTTTCCTTTAATGTGCTAGACACGCCATACCCTGAGGCTGTGCAGTGGCTGTTCCCTCTACATGAACACTCTTCCTGTGTTGTCCAGGCAGCTAACTCCCTCACTTTCTTTAGGCGATTTGCTAAATGTTTCTTCCTCCACAAGGCCCCTCCTGACACCCTATATAATACCATAATCTTCTTACCTGGCTCTACTTGTTTTTCCACAGCATTTATCACTTTCTAATGTACCATTTAACTTATTTATTTATTTTTTGAGACAGGGTCTCACTCTGTTATCCAGGCTAGTGTGCAGTGGCATCATCGCAGCTCATTGCAACTTCAAACTCTTGGGTTCAAGTGATCCTCCTGCCTCGGCTTCCTTAGTAGCTGGGACTATAAGTATGCACCACCATGCCCGGCTAATTTTTCTACTTTTTTTTTTTTTTTTTTTGTAGAGATGGAGTCTTGCTCTTGCTCAGGCTGGTCTCAAACTCCTGACTTCAAGAGATCCTCTCACCTCAGCCTCCCAGAGTGCTAGGGTTACAGGTGTGAGCCATTGCACCTGGCCTTATTTATTCTGCTGCTCCTGCTATAAAATGAGCTCTACCAGGTCAGGGACCTTTGTCTGTGTTGTTTGCTGATATAGCTGAAGCACCTAGAACAATGCCCAGGGAGTGGGTGCTCAGTAAATATGTGTTGGCAATGAATATCTGTTACTATATATCTACTTTGCCTAGACCCAAGTGTAAGACCTGGCAAATGGCAGAACTTCAGTAAAGTGGCTGGGTGAGTGAGTGAATGGTTGAATTAATGAATCAATCAAAGCCGAACTGGTGAAAATGCTAAGCATCTTCATATAACCTTAAGGAGGAACATCTTTCTTTTTAAAGTTTAATTCGTCCTTGACATCTTTGCACTGCATTCTTCTTTCTTAACAGTCCTGATGCCTAGGGTGAGGACAATTATTTTCTTCCTGGGAGGAGAGGGCAAGGAGACTAATGCTAATAACAGTGACTATTGAGCATTTGCTGCATGTCAGATTTATGCTCTAGGCATCTCATCTCATGTAATCCTCACTCCTACCCATGGGGGTAGGTTCTGCTCCATTACCCCATTTTACAGATGAGCACATTGAGGTACAAGAGAAGCCATGAAATCCAACCAAAGTCACATAAATAGTAAGTGATGGAGCTGGGATTTGAACTCCTGCAGTCTGACTCAAGCGTCTGTCCACTGGGTAATGTGTTGGTGGGAATTTGAATTTTTTCCCAAAGAGCAGGAGGCAGCCATGGAAGATTATTTAAGCAAAGGATGAATATACTCTGTCATATATTAAAAGGAAGAATACTTGCTCCATCACAGAGCTGTTGTGGCAGATTATCTCAGTTCATGGACGGACAGCTCCTAGACAAGGTCCCGGAGGAAGAGAAACCCTAGAGAAAATCATCTTTCAAAAGAGGCTCAGGCGGGGATCCCTTGAGCCCAGGAGCTTGAGGTTGCTGTGAGCTAGGCTGACACCACGGCACTCTAGCCTGGGCAACAGAGTGAGACTTTCTCAAAAAAAAAAAAAAAAAAAAAAGAGGCTCAGGCAGGACCGGAGATTTTGCACATGGGCATCTACTGCCACCCTGCGGCCACTCTCCTGTATGACATGATGTGGGTTCTGGTCTAGCTAAATTCAGGAGGGCGGGGCTGGTCTCCGCAGTGAGAAATGGCTGCACTGGGGGCTGGGGTGACAGAGTGGGGAGGTGGTCCCAGAGAGGCGCTGGTGTCCTGGGGTTGAGGGTTGCAGACCCCTGGAGTGGACTAATTGATTCAGATATTTAGTGCTGGGTCTGACAGCACCAACCTGAATGAGACTCAGTCCTTGCTTGGAGCGCCCCATAGACTGATGAGAAAGAAGACAAGAAGAGAGGCGTGTTAATGTCTGGGGAACAGCAAGACTGCTGAGTCCTAATCTCAGTCTTGCCACTTCCTCCGGACTTCACTTTTCAGAGCATCAGTGTCCTCATCTATAAAATGGGGGCAGAATAGAAACTACCTCCCGGGACTGTGCAGAGCAAAAGACATGACACAGCAGTAAGCCCGTACCGGGCACATTGCCAACACGCAGTCAGTGCCCCAAAGGCAGGCTGCCCAGCGCCGTGTGCTGCAGAGAAGACCAACCAAGCAGCCAGGTACAAAGGAAAAGACCTGGGTCCCTGCTCTAATGTTGTCACCAAACCTACTATGTGACTGTGGCAAGTCATTTCTTCTCTCTGAGCCTGTTTTTCCAGCCACATAGTGTGCAGGTTGGGCAAATGCACTCAGATTTTTGGCCATGGGGGCTGCAGAAGAAGATCTAGAAGGCTTGCATCCACCCCTTCACATGCCCGACCCTGAGCATCAGCATAAGGTGACAATTACTCCAGGCCCTGTTGAGGTGCCGATCCTGGTGTAATCCATGAACTGCATACGCACGAGCTTTGCTTCTCAAAGTGTGGTCCTTGGACCCGCATCGCACCCCCTGGGAGCCTGTCAGAAATGTCCCTTCTCGGGTCCCATCCTGACTCTCTGGCTCAGCACCTGCAGGTTAACGCCACCCCCAGGATGCTCCTACACGCCTTGGGCCTGGCGGGGACTCCTTTGGGGGAGAGCATTCTTTTGCCCACCAGCCTGGAGCATCTGGGTCACGTGATGCCACCCAATGCGCCCTGACAGATCTGCCCCCCTTCCCTGCTGCTCGGGGACCCCAGGAACTAATCCCGCAGGCAGAGGCACTCTGAGGGATTAGTGCTGGGGAAATCAGGCGCCACATCTGCCGGCCCCTGGAACGCTTGGGCAAAGCCTGTGCCTCAGCCCAGGAAGCCATTCCTGTCCCCGGACACAGGGGCTCCCAGAGGCACCGGCCAGCCGTGGGGGGCGGGGAGCGGAATTGCCCTGTCTTTCCCGAGCCTTCTGGAAGAGGGTAAGTTGTGGCCAACAGCAGGCTAGAGGGGGGAGAGGAAGTGGAATTAGGTGCAGGGGCGGGAAGGGTGAGCAACTGTCCTGTTTGCCTGGGGCTGAGGGGTTTCTGGGAACAGGGAGGGGACTGCAGGGGTTTCTGAGCTGAGCTGCTGTGTCCCTTGCCCGGGAGGTGGAGCCACACGGGGGGAGGGGCTGCGCTGCCCCCATCCTCAGCCACCCTCCTTGTTTTCCAGCATTTCTCCGTCCTCTCCTTCTCTTTCCCAGCCCCCAGGACCTCTTTTTGCCTTCACTCTTCTGCCTCAGTTTCCTGCTCAGGGGTTCTGAGGGTGAGCAGGAAACCTGGGGTGTAGACCTGAATCCTCAAAGAGCTGGAGTCTTCCCGTGCCTTGGAGAGAATGAAGACCCAGGTGAGGCACAGCCCCAAGCTGCCTTCAAATATTGGCCTAAATCACCCCCCTATCACCTTCATCATCCTCACTAACCTTTCTAGAGCGTGCACGTGGGCCAGGGCCAGTTCCAGGTGTTTTACATGCATTGACTCAGTGGATTCTCAAAACAAACCAGAAACGACTCCTTTTTCTTGTCACCTCCCCGGGCTGCCTGCTTGGTGACTCTCTCCTGCTCCTCCCAGCCCCAGGCCGAGCTCATCTGCACAGTATCTGTTTACACGTCTCTCCCAGAGCACTTATGGCACCTCCAGCTTCCAGGGGCTTTGCACGCACGATCTCAATTGCTCTCACCTGAACTCTGTGAGGTGCAGGACCCATCGTTACCCCCACTATGCAGATGAGGAAACTGAGACTTGAAGAGCTAAAGTCATTTGTCCATTTGTGTCTGCTGGCTCCACTGCTGGCTCTGCGGGGCAGGTGTGGCCTTGCACACCGCGGGCCCTCGGGATTGTTTTCCAAATGAATGACGGGACAAAGGGGGGCTGTCCCAGAGTGGGCTGAGAGCACAGGGGAGGAGGTGAGGGTGACTGAGCTGCAGCCCACCCTGGAAGGTGGGAGCTGCGGGTATGGGTGGGCTTTGGGGGAGCCTGGCTCTTCTGGAGCCCTGTCCTGCCAGCGGTTTCCAGCCGGGGAGGGAGAGGAGAGAGATTCCTAGCGGCTATTGCAAGTCCAAATGCGAGCAGCTGGCGAGCCGCTTAGCGGTTA